AGTCCAACCCCCTGCTCAAAGCAGGGCCGATCCCCAACTAAATCATCCCAGCCAGGGCTTTGTCAAGCCTGACCTTGAAAACCTCTAAGGAAGGAGATTCTACCACCTCCCTAGGTCACCCATTCCCTTCACCACCTTCCTAGTGAAAATTTTTCCTAACATCCAACCTAAACCTCCCCCACTGCAACTTGAGACCTTTACTCCTTATTCTGTCATCAGCTACCACTGAGAACAGTCTAGATCCATCCTCTTTGGAATCCCCTTTCAGGTAGCTGAAAGCTATCAAATCCCCCGTCAGTCTTCTCTTCCACAGACTAAACAATCTGAGTTCCCTCAGCCTCTCCTCATAAGTCATGTGTTTTAGCCCCCTAATCATTTTTGTTGCCCTCTGCTGGACTCTTTCCAATTTTTCCACATCCTTCTTTTAGTGTGGAGCCCAAAACTGGACACAGTACTCCAGATGAGGCCTCACCAATGTTGAATAGAGGGGAATGGGGCCTTTAGCTGTGCCCACCCATTTCCCAGTACTCAATAGGACTAATCTCATATATATTGTGATAGACCAGAAGGATATAAGTGGCTTGGATAACTGCAACTTGCAGTAGAAAGTCATTGTTCTCGAATTTGATGGTAATCAGTGGTTTGTGGGGAAAAAGAGAATCAGATAATACTGTGGAAATTAATCAAGAGATACATTATTTCTTATCTAGCCTAGATCAGCGGGGACCAAAAGTCATTACCATGTAATAACTGATTAGGAGCCTATGTGAAATGAGTCAGTGAGTCTCAGTTCAAGTTTGTTGTGGTCAAGTCTCCACATCACAAAAACACAGCCCCGTAACTGCTCCCTGGGCTGACAGGGAGGCCAAGGACTGAATAGAGAAGGAGAGTGATGAATTCTACTGACTTTAGTGTCAAAACTTCCAGGTTGACACATTGGTGGAACCCATGTTATAATTGCCCTGTGGAGAAACGAAGGACTCCAGTTAAAGTGTGTGTGTGTGTGTTTGGTTAGTGGGCGTGATGGGTTGGGTCACAGAAACCCCCTTTGGGACTGCCACCTGATGTGTTGAGACTACCTCTGACCCCGTTTTCCCTGGCACCTTGGGACTTCGGTGCCCTGCCTGGTTGTGCCAGACATGCTAGCCTGCTACCCAGGTCTGAACCACGTCTTCCAAAAGCTGCAGACTTAACTGAAAACAGCTTAAGAAGTGCTCCTGTCTCTAGCACTCAGATACCCAACTCCCAATAGGGTCCAAAACCCAAATAAATCCATTTTACCCTGTATAAAGCTTATACAGGGTAAACTCATAAGTTGCTCGCCCTCTATAACACTGTGATGGGGTTGGGACTCACCACCGCAGCGCCTCCTGCTGTTCACTCTGGGAATTAGCTCAGTTCATGCAGAGTGCCCTCTGCCGGTGGCATCCCATCCATCTCTCGCCCTAGATTGGGGTATCAACCCGCACTGCTCCCAGCTTGTGGCGTCCTCTTCAGGACACTGCCCTCCAGCAGTGCCCACTGCTCCAGTCTCGCCCCCTTCCGGGGTGTTATCAGCAGTCCTTCTCTTCGCCCCAGCCACAATGGCCAACCACACCCCAAAATCTAACCCCTTTTGGCAGGGGTCTGGTGAAGTCCGTGATGGCCACTCCTAACAGCCAGGTGGAAGTGCAAGGGGGAAGCGGGGGGACCCAGGCCCACCCTCTACTCTGGGTCCTGACCCAGGGACCCTTTTGTGGCCTTCCTGCCTGCCCTCCTTCTCTCTCTCCCTGGGCCGTTTCCCCTTCGGCCCCTTTGCACCGGCTAGGCCCTTCTTCTCTGGGCCCGCAGCCCAGCAGGTACCAGGCGGGAGTTCCCTTCTGCTCCGCCCGCCCGCGTTGCGCTGTCCCTGGTGCTAGTCTCCTCATGCAGGAGATTGACCTTCACCCTCTGAAGGCCTGGGCGAGACTGCCTGCTCCCTTCCTGGGCAGCCTTTATATAGGGCCTAGCCTAGCCCTGATTGGCTCTCTAACAGGCCCTCCCTGATTGGCTGCCACCTTTCGCAGCTGCTCTGGCCTGTTGTAGGCCAATCTGGCCTGGGGGTGGGGCACTGCCCCACCACAAACACCGCTAGAGAGATATGCACAGCTGTTTGCCCCCCCCCACGGTATTAATACATACTCTGGGTTAATTAATGAGTAAAAAGTGATTTTATTAAATATAAAAAGTAGCATTTAAGTGGTTCTAAGTAATAACAGACAAAGTAAATCACCAAGTAAAATAAAACACGGAAGTCTAAGCCTAATACAGTAAGAAAACTGAATACAGATAGAAGCTTATTGAAACATCTCTGAGGGTAAGATTTTATCACAGACTGGATGCCTTCCTAGTCTGGGCCTAATCCTTTCCCAGGTACAATTCTTGTTCCAGCTCAGGTGGTAGCTAGGGAATTTTTCATGACTGCAGCCCCCTTTGTTCTGTTCCACCCTCTTGTATATCTTTTGCACAAGGCAGGAATCCTTTGTCCCTCTCTAGGTTCCCACCCCTCCTTCTAAATGGAAAAGCACCAGGTTAAAGATGGATTCCAGTTCAGGTGATATGATCACATGGCACTGTAGGACTTCATTACCCAATAGCCAGGATACAGGTACACAGGAAGACTTACAAGTAAATAGAGCCATCTACAGTCAATTGTCCTGGTTAATGGGATCCATCAAAATTCCAAGCCACAATTAACAATGGCCCACACTTTGCATCATTACCATAGGACCTCAGAGTTATATTTCATATTTCTAGTTTCAGATACAAGAATGATACATACATACATACAAGTAGGATGACCACACTCAGTAGCTTATAAGCTTTGTAATGATACCTTACAAGAGACCTTTTGCATGAAGCATATTCCAATTACATTATATTCACACTCATTAGCATGTTTTCATTACATCACATAGAGTGCAACGTCACAGTGGGCAAATCAGCTAATTACAAACAAGTGCAAAGTTACAGCCACAATACAGAAGGCCAGACAAAAATTTAGGTCCTTCAGATTTCTATGGTGGCATGTCTCTTGGATTAGGCATCAGTCAGTAAAACCCAGTTGGATGCTGTTGCAGGTTCACCAATGCCTGGTATCAGCAGGCTTCTCTGTAGTCCACCTACCTTGTACAGAAGCAAGTGGAAAGAGGGATGTGATACCATCCCGTTTGTAATGCATGACTCAGCTCGCTGTGGAGATGAGTTCAGTGGAGTACTCAGTATGTTCAATTTCAGATGCCCTTCTACTCCAGTCTGTACATTCCAGTCTAGCTTCTGGCTCTTCTCGAGGATATACTGGTCAGGCCATGCAAGATCTCTTGCTGGGTTTAAATGAGAGTCAGCTGGCCAGTTTGGTCAGACTGGATTTCCCAGCAGATTTGTATATGACCAATCAAAGGTTGCTTTGGCAATTAAAAGAGGTTGCTGGATGTTTGGAACAGCTCGCAGTGGTTCCAGCAGTAGAGTCAGTTGACGGTGATGGACAATTGTGTGTCTTTGGCGAGGGAGTGGATAGGTGAGGTCCCTCACACATATGTCCCTTCTCCACTGGTCAACATACAGAAGGATGACTTCTAAACACTATGGACCAGATCCTCAGCTAGTGTAAACTGGAGTAGCACCATTGACTTTCATGGAGCCACACTTATTTACACAAGCTGAGAAATGAGCCCTGTTGCCCTGGATTTGAGGGGTGTATATACCCCAGAATGTGATCCAGCCAATTGCAACCATATTATGTGCACTCAGCCACTAAACATTAATAAAATAAAACACCACATAGTTACAAGTTAATTTAAAAACAGGCTTTCGAAAGCAAGGTCATAACTATTAGCAGTTTTGCTAATCAATATTAAAAAAAACCCCTAAAAATAAAAAAAACCCTATAAATAAATAGCCTTAAGTCTAAATGCTTCTAATAATAAACATTTAAAATTAATAAAGTAATAATTTAATAAAATTGTTAGAACCCATGTGTTTAATAAAAATTAATTATAAAAAGTTTAAATAATAAAGTGTACTTAAGCAGATCTCAGAAGCTATCCTGGCAAAGACGTTTTCCTAACATCTTTACTCCCTGGCAAGGAGGCGTTTGGCCAGAGCTAACCTGTCGTTAATTACTCAATACCCTGTCAAAATATAGGTAAATATCTAAAATGTTCTAAACCAGGGGTCTCAAACTCAAATGACCACAAGGACCACATGAGGACTAGTGCATTGGCCCGAGGGCCGCATCACTGACACGCCCCCCCCTTGCTGCCCCCAGCCACGCCCCCACTCCACCCCTTCCATGAGGCCCCACCCCTGCCCAGCCTCTTCCCACCCCTTCCCTGCCCTCATTCCAACCCCTTCCCCGAAGTCCCCACCCCAACTCTGCCCCCTCCCTGCCCCCAGGGGATGGTGCAGGAGGGGTGCGGGGTGTGGTGGGGGCTCAGGGCAGGGAGTTGAGGTGCAGGAGGTGTGCAGGGTATGGCAGGGAGCTCAGGGCAGGGAGTTGGGGTGTGGGGTGCAGGAGGGGGCTCAGGGCAAGGAGTGCAGGAGGTGTGCAGGGTGTGGCAGGGGGCTCAGGGCAGGGAGTTGGGGTGTGGGGTGCAGGGGGGTGAGCGGTGCAGCGGGGGGTCGGGGTGCAGGGTGTGGCAGGGGGCTCTGTGCAGGGGGTTGGGGTGCAGGGTGCAGCAGGGGGCAGGCAGGGAGTTGGAGTGCAGGGGGCAGGAGGAATGTGGGGTGAAGGAGGGGTGTGGGGTGCAGGAGGGGGCTCAGGGCAGGGAGTTGGGGTGTGGGGTGCAGGGGGTGAGCGGTGCAGCAGGGGGTTGGGGTGCAGGGTGTGGCAGGGGGCGGGCAGGGAGTTGGGGTGCAGGGGGCAGGAGGGGTGTGGGGTGCACGCCGCAGGGACATGGTTCCAGCCGCTTCAGGGAGCAGCGCGGGGCTCGCGGCACAACGGGATAGGCAGAGGGGCAGGGGGGAGCGCGGGGGGGGGCGCAGGGAGCTTGGCGGACCCCACGAAAGAACCCCGCGGGCCACGTGTTTGAGACCCCTGTTCTAAACCTATTGCTTATGTCTATGTGTGCTTAAATCTAATAAACTGCAGTGTTAAACAAGAGCATGTTTACTTACATTACTCCTTAATTAGACAAAATCACTAAGTTCCTCTTAATTTATTCCTTACACTGCCTAAAGTAAAATAGTTAAGTTGCCCCTGTTGGGGGTTCTGACAACCCCGGGTAACAGCTCTACATTCGAGACCTTACCCTCCCCTGATAGCTGAAAGGCAGGTGGGGTGTGAGCTATCCTACATTGACTGCCATTAGACTGTGCTCATCACTATGGTATCTGAGCCGTTAAGTGGAATCTTTGCTGTGGTGGGTCCTTGGTTCTTGTCTCCATTGCTATCCATCCTAGTCTCTCTTGCTCCCCACCATGATTATAAACTGATTTAAAACCTTTTCCCCAGAAGGTGTTTTTTTTTTTAAATCGGTATGATCAGGACTGACCTCCGCTATTACATTCCTCTCCCCCCTCTATTATCTATTCATAGATTCCAGCACCAGAAGGGACCATTGTGATCATCCTAGACTGACCTCTTGTATAACACAGGCCAGAGAACGTCCCTAAATTAATGTTCAGCATTGACAATGAACTCAGGGCTGTACAAGACACAAAATACAGACTCCTTACCCCAAAGAGCACAGAAACCACTTTGTATTGCTTTGGATCCTCTTACATTTGATTTGAATTGTAACCAGGGAGGCTTTTTATCATAGGAATGTTTTAAGTGTGCTATATTTCAAAATGGTTTACATCACATAACAGCCTAAGCTTCTTGGTATGAGGTGGGGTGATGCTTTAGAAATAAATTGATCATATAACTATAGCAACACTATTTGCAGAGTCAGAAGAAATTACTCAGTGGCATAAAATGTCTAGATAATTTATTTCCACAGATAATACAGATAGATAAAAACCCTCTTTTGAAAAACAAACCAGAACTATTCTCCGGAAATGGCAGGTCTGATGCAGTTAGATACAAACACTGAACCATACGACTTGTGCTACTTGCAGACGCTGGCACCTTAGAGAGATCATCCTGAAATACTGCCATTGATGCTGGGGGCCAGGTTAGAGAGTGAGAAGGAACACAGTCAGTGTGGGAATGAAACCCAGAGAAGCTGCCCAGGAGAGATCACTGGTCCTCAGCTTTAGAGCATCCAACAAGTATCTCTAATCTACAGCGCTCTGACAGTAACTTTGTTGTTATCTCTATTCAATAAAAGGTTTAAAACCAGAAGAGAGAGAGATAATCTATGTAAAAATAGAAATATGTACACTGCCTAGAGAGTTAAATATGAAGAGAAAAGATCAGTCATCTCTAAAAGAATGCATAAGGTGTGTTATAATCCAAATCAGCACATTCTAAAATATCCTATATGCCACAGAAGCCATCAGTTCCTGCCTGCTGGAAGCAGCTGCACTGGCTCACTGACCTTCCTCTTCTTCCTTGGCCCCATCGTCTCTTCCTGGCTAAATGCAAGGTCCAGGGTGTATGTCTGCAAGAACCACCAGAAAAGGAGGTCATGCTCATAGCACAGACTGCTGGGTGGTTTCTAAGCAAAATATGAGACAAGAAAACCAAACTTCAAATCCCACATCTTACTTCAGGGATCCTTTTGGTTTGGCTAGTTCAGCCTTGCTCTCTAGAAAGGAAATCGGGCAGGGAATCAAAACTAGGGTCCTGAACAACCTGGGCTGGTTGCTTTGTGAAGGCAGGAGGCTCAGCCTCACAGAGAGGGAGCACATCTGGTAGCTCCTAGGAGCAGCATCCATTCCTCACTGCTGAAAGAAGATACAGGTACCAGAGAACTTTTCAGGGAGCTGATTAGCGTTTGGGGTAAAAACTCTTGTCACCAAATTCATCTAGCCATTCAAACAAAGAGCAGAAGGATGCAGGGCCAGTGCAAGGATGTTTTGAGCCCTAGGCAAAACTTCCACTTTGCGCCCGTCCCCCCCCCAGCCCTGCAGCAGCTCTCCACCCCCCCTCGCCCTGAGGCGCTCCCCCGCGGCAGCTCCGTGCCCCCCACTCCGCCCTGAGGCGCCCCCCTGCGGCAACTCCCCGCCACCCCCTCCCTCGGCCCGGGGAGCTGCGTGCGGCAACTCCCCGCCCCAGCTCACCTCTGCTCCGCCTCCTCCCCAAGCATGCTGCTGCTTCTCCCGCCTACCAGGCTTGCGGCACCAATCAGCTGTTTGGCGTGCACTCCTGGGCAGGAGAGAAGCAGAGTGGGGTGGCATGGTCGGGGAGGATGCAGAGCAGAGGTGAGCTGGGGCGGGGAGTGGTTCTCCTGTGCGCCTCCCCCCCCATTACTTGCTGTAGGTGGCCCTTCCCGCGCCCCCCCTGCCCAGCTCACCTCCTCTCCACCGCCTCCCCAGAGCACGCTTTTGGCCATCCCCAACCACTTGGCACCCTAGGCGACCGCCTAGTTCGCCTAGTGGTTGCACCAGCCCTGGAAGGATGGTATTCTTTATGTCTGCATGACTAAACAAAAGGCAGCTGGAAACTGGTTCTTAGCAGGAGACATAGGGTATGTCTACATTGCAGTTAAACACCTGGCAGCTAGCCCGTGTCAGCTGACTCGGGCTCGTGGGGCTCAGGCTGCAGGGCTATTACACTTCAGTGTAGACATCTGGAATGACGCTGAGGATACCTAGACACCATACATACTGGAATCAAAATACCATGGGGATTGGTGTAGACAGAGACAGACAAACCAAAAACTTCCTTACTCATTTTCAGTTGCACTAGACACTTCAGTTGTACTTTTCAAAATAATGATCTCGCTTTGCACTCTCAGCTGCTTATGTAATTGTCCCTCATTGCCGATGTAAAGTGCACTCTTTAGTAATCTAGCCCTTACTGCTAGGAACTGAAGGGATGCTCCCAATACAACACATATTCAAGGCCACTAGTTGGCATGATGTGATCATTGCAGAATTTCTCAGTCATATCATCAAGACTTTCTATCTAGCCCATGTGGCTTTGGAACAGAGATTCGTAACATGTAGGTATCTATGGTCTTTCAAACACATGAAATACACAGATTACAGGTAGCATAAAATAGTCCAAACTTTCCCCCACTCCATAATTCAGTCAGTTTTTAACTTGTTTCTCTTTCCTCCTCTTCATTACCTAGCAAAGCAGAGACACACTTGCTAACAACTTCCTTTCTTAATTCAAGAATGGAAAAAACCAGAACCACAAAGTGAGGCAGGCACGCTCTAGGCCAGCAAAACTTCCACTGAAATCAAAAGGAAGTTTTTGCATAAGAAGGGAGCAATGATAGGGTTGCCAAGTTTGGTTGGAGGTATTCCTGGAGGTTTCATCAAAATGACATAATCTTTAATTCCTGGAGACTCCAGGACAATCCTGGAGGGTTGGCAACCCTAAGCAATGAACAGATCTCTAGGTCAGAGCCCCCAAGTTGAGAATGGCTTCTCAAATGGGCACTTCAAGCAGGTATTTATGCTCCTCCCCATGGAATCACTTTGTCCCATCTGCTTCCTTATCCCACACAAAAGGCACACTGTCAGGGTTCCTTCCCCACTCTGAACTCTGGGGTACAGATGTGGGGACCCGCATGCAAGACCCCCTAAGCTTATTTTTACCAGCTTAGGTTAAAAACTTCCCCAAGGCACAAATTCCACCTTGTCCTTGAACAGTACGCTGCCACCACCAAGTGATTTAGACAAAGAATCAGGGAAAGGTCCACTTGGAGTTTCTATTCCCCCAAAATATTCTCCCAAGCCCTTACACCCCCTTTCCTGGGGAGGCTTGTGAATAATATCCTAACCAACTGGTTACAAAGTGAACACAGACCCAAACCCCTGGATCTTTGGACACTGAAAAAAAAATCAATCAGTTCTTAAAAGAAGAATTTTATTTAAAAAAAAAAAGGTAAAAATCCCCTCTGTAAAATCAGGTTGGAAGATAACTTTACAGGGTAACAAAAGATGCACAAAACACAGAGGAACCCCCTCTAGCCTTAGTTTCAAAGTTACAAAAAACAGGGATAAACCTCCCTCCAGTAAAGGGAAAATTCACAAGTTGAGAAAACAAAGATAAACTAATACACATTGCCTGGCTGTACTTACAATTTCTGTAACATGAGAGATGGGTTCAGAAGGGTTTGGAGGACATGGATTGATGTCCGATCCCTCTTAGTCCCAAGAGCGAAGGAACACAGAAACAAAGAACCCAAAACAAAGCCTCTCCCCACCCCCCCACAGATTTGAAAGTATCTTTTGTCCCCATTGGTTCCTTTAGTCAGGTGCCAACCAGGTTATTTGAGCTTCTTAACCCCTTACAGGTAAAGAGGAATTTTAGGCTACCCTTATGGTTATGACACATACAGAGGGAAACTATTGGGTTAGTACATTCTCCCACTAGCCAGATGATGAATCAAAGGCGAGATTCCCAGTTGGCGGTGTAGGGAGACCCTCCTTCTGTGCTGCTCTTGCCATGGCAGGAATAGGAGTCACATCACTGCTGACTGGTAGATCACAAGCATGTTGTATTCCCTTCAGCAGAACCACAAAGCATACAGGGGGAGTCAAGTTACTTCACCCAACATTAACTCTCTGCTGATCTCTGTTGCATCTGAAGAAGTGGTTTTTTTACCTATAAAAGCTTATGCCCAAATAAATCTGTTAGTCTTTGAGGCGCCACAGGACTCCTTGTTGTCTCTGCCGATCTGCGCATCTTCTTGTTGGTCCTGAGGCAGAGCAAGCTGGTTAGTGAAACTCTTCCCACTTCTCTGATCCCACCTAGATTTCCCATGTCGCCTGGACTATTTTTAGGTGGAAGAAAATGGACAGGGAGAGGAGTGTCCATGGGAGAATCCCAATGACTCCGTGCAGCTGATTTTGTCTTTACAGAGACCAGTGCAGCTTTGTTCCCTTTCACAACAGATAGCATGGGCAGCATAAGGATCTGAGTATGGAACTATAAAGATCTTTGCAACACCCCCAGAAGACAGACAAGTATTAACCCCATCCTTTAAAATGTGGAAATTAAATCCTAGTAAGGAAAATAGAAAGAAGCATAAACTCTGGAAAATGAAGTGTAAAAATATAATTAGAAAGGCCAAAAAAGAATTTGAAGAACAGCTAGCCAAAAACTCAAAAAATAATAGCACAATTTTTTTTTTAAATACATCAGAAGCAGGAAGCCTGCTAAACAACCAGTGGGGCCACTGGACGATCGAGATGCTAAAGGAGCACTCAAAGACGATAAGGCCATTGCGGAGAAACTAAATGAATTCTTTGCGTTGGTCTTCACGGCTCAGGATGTGACGGAGAGTCCCAAATCTGAGCATTCTTTTTAGGTGACAAATCTGAGGAACTGTCCCAGATTGAGGGGTCATTAGAGACGGTTTTGGAACAAATTGATAAATTAAACAGTAATAAGTCACCAGGACCAGATGGTATCACCCAAGAGTTCTGAAGGAACTCAAATATGAAATTGCAGGACTACTAACTGTGATATGTAACCTATCATTTAAATCAGCTTCTGTACCAAATGACTGGAGGATAGCTAATGTGACACCAATTTTTTAAAAGGGCTCCAGAGCTGATCCCAGCAATTACAGGCCGGTAAGCCTGACTTCAGTACCGGCCAAACTGGTTGAAACTATAGTAAAGAACAAAATTGTCAGACACATAGATAAACATAATTTGTTGGGGAAGAGTAAACATAGTTTTTGTAAAGGGAAATCATGCCTCATCAATCTACTAGAATTCTTTGAGGGGATCAACAAGCATGTGGGCAAGTGGGATCCAGGGGATATAGTGTACTAAGATTTTCAGAAAGCCTTTGACAAGATCCCTCACCAAAGGCTCTTAAGCAAAGTAAGCTGTCATGGGATAAGAGGGAAGGTCCTCTCATGGAACTCTTTGCCAGAGGATGTTGTGAAGGCCAAGACTATAACAGGGTTCAAAAAAGAACTAGATAAATTCATGGAGGAGAGGTCCATCAGTGGCTATTAGCCAGATGGTGTCTCTAGCCTTTGTTTGCCAGAAGCTTGGAATAAGCGACAGGGAAAGGATCACTTGATGATTACCTGTTCTGTTCATTCCCTCTGGGGCACCTGGCATTGACCACTGTCAAAAGACAGGATACTGGGCTAGATGGACCTTTGATCTGACCCAGTATGGCTGTTCTTATATTCATTTACCAGAGGAGGTTAAGAGTAAGATCTTGGAAAGTGCTGTGAATCTGTTGCTCACATGGGAGACTATGGGGCTGAGCTGCTTCCACTAGTCCTAAGCAACTTACTCAAGTTCATGCAGCTGGGGATAGACCCCAAGTTTCCCAGTCTCCAGATCTTAGCCTTACTACATGTCTATGCTTCTTCCCCAGAACAGAGGGGCCTAAACAGTTTAATGCAGATCCTACATAAAAGTATTTTTCTTTAACTAAAAAGTAAACTGCTCTAATAGTATGGTGAAGAGCAGGAAAGCACTACCAATGAGAAAACAAACATCAAATCCTTCTGTA